ACTAGACCAGTGCTTCTTACCTTGGCTGCACATCTTAGTGACTTGGCAAGCTTTGAAAAATGCCGATGCCTAGGCTCTATCCCCAGAGATCTTGTTGTAATTGATCTGGGGTGTGACCTGGACATTAGGATTTTAAAAATATCCCTGATGATTCTAATGTGCAGCCAAGTATGAGAAGCATTGTTCTGACAAACTTGTTCAGAGGTCTAGTCCTTTTTCTGTTGACATTCACTTGTATAAAGTTATTCTAATCAAGCATAAATGTTTGTTGAATAAATCAAATTAAAGCTGTCTTTGGAGAGTTACCATTCCTTCTATGTTGCTGATATAATTGCCGATAGAAACACATATGCATATATGTTTAACGTTTTCCTCTAAAGTACTTGAAATAGAGATTTCTACCACCTCATAAGAAAAACTTTCTCTCGCCATTTTTAGCATCAACTTTAACATCAACATCCTATCTTATAGATGCAATACTTTCATTCATTCAGAAAGCATTTATTGAGTAGATGCTTTATATACTTTGGAAAGTTGGCACCATGGGCAACCCTTAGAAAGGATGCCTATTTACAACCACCCACAAGAAGATCTGACTCCTGTAGTACTTGCAGACAGCATCTTGACAAGTGACTTATAGAAGGAGAGATGATCTAACTAAAGTTGGTTAAATGTACTAGCCATTAGGCACATAACACTAAACAAAACAATAATGAGCTCATGGAGAATACAGGCTAGTCATCAGACCATTTGTAATCAGCGGGACAAGCCATGCCATCAGGAAAGTTGGGCATGCAGTGGGACCTATGGGTGAACCTCTTCATGCAGTTCGAGGAGATTTGGCCAGCTTTCTGTATAAAAATCATACCTATGCTAAAAATAGGAGAGTAGGAGTTAGCCAAGCAAAAGTTCCCTGTCAGAAGGCGCTCTGGGCAGAAGGAATAGCAGCTTTAATGCCCAGATAGCCATGGCTTCTGAGCAGATGCAAAAGAGGCTGGGTATCACTAAAGCCATTGCTAGAGAAAGTGTTATGTGGGATAGAGGTGGGGTGGGAGGAAGTGGTCTCCCCAGGGAAGATAGTGAGACATGAGGCTGGAGAAGTAAGCAAGACCTAGCTAGATCATGCAAGACCCTGACACTATGCTAACACTTAGCTCTCCTTCTCTCCCAACAACCAAATGAATTGGTAGAAAGGCTGGCTGTTCCATTTTATGTGGGGAAATACCATAATTGAATTTGAGTTTTTTGAAGACCATTTTTGCTGCAAAGTGGTGAATATATTGAAGGGAAAAAAGATTGAAGTCAGAAAGATCAGTTCAGAAGTGAAATGTGGTAATGACCTATAACAGAGAGGTGGCAGCAGGGTTGGGGAGATATGAGCATATGTGAGAGTCAGTAAAATAATGACACTCGGTGGTTTGGCAACTGATTTTGAGAGAGGGTGAAGACACTGAGGTGATGTGCAGGTGCTCGGTTTAACCAGGCTCATGGAACACACAGAAAGCCATGCAGATTTGAAAGAAATTATAATAGGTTCTGCTTTGCATAGATTGAGACACAGGTGGGATATTCAAGCAGCAACATCCATAGGCAGTGGGTCTTATGGATCTTACAGCCCTTAAGGGAAGATACTGTAATTGCAGGTATGAATTTAGGAGTCATCAGCAGGTGGGTGGTAATTCGGGCTAGGGGTAAATAAGTTTTGTCCCTGAAAAACTGGAGAAGAGAACTCAGAGAAACATCAACATGAAGAAATGGGCAGAGAGGAAAACATTAGAAAAAGAAATTGAGACAGAGAGAAGAGGAAACATCAGATGAAACAGAATCAAAGAGGAGTTTCAAGGAGGAAGTTGTGACCAATGATGCTATAACAAATAACCTGACTCCATTTCCAAGATTTAGCTGCTTAGGCAGGATCCATATGTCTCTGTCTATTCCTAACCCAGAGACTAGCACAGAGCACACAGAGAATGAATACGCCACTCTTGCCATCCCAGGGGAAATGAGACAAGGCTGGGACAAGGATCTCAGGGAAAGTCAGAGTCAGTCACCACTTATCTTTCTTTTCTCTCAAAACAATTGACTTGAGAAGCAGAAAGGAATGCATTTGGCTGATATTTTGGTAAGCATTTCATTATTTTAAAAAGAGTTGAACAAGAAGTAATATCTAGCTTAGCATATGCAATGGACGTCGTAGTTTATAAAGTGCTTTCGCTACATTACCCAACTTTCAGTCTCAAAACAACATTGTTGAATAGAAATAATTACTGCCCCTCCATATTACGCACGCAAAGACTAAGACACACAGTGTTGAGTATATTGCTCAGGGTCAAGCAAACAATTTGCAAATAGAACCAAGTGTTTTTTGTTTGTTTGTTTGTTTTTCTCTACACAGTACAATGGCATAAAATTAGCATGTGTCCACTCTCTCAAGATTTATTTCCTTCCCTGCTTTTTCTCAGTTTCTTCTCTTCATGCTTGCATGTTCTAGAAAGAATTTTAGGGCTTCATTTACACAACGCTGGGCTTTTTTCACATGCAAGGAACAAGGCTGACATAGTTCACTAAGTAAACACAAGCAGCAAGTGGCAGTGATTTACGCCTGACTTGCAAACTTCTGATTACCAACCCGCCCCTGCTATGTAAACAGGTGTAAACTAAGATTCCATCAGTTTACACAGCATGGTAAATAATTTAATCTCTCCTCAGCACGGTGCTTGTGAATGTAAATGTTTAAGCCTGAGCTGATGCTGATGTTGTGATGCAAGCATCCAGTTTCTCAGCCAGAAAAGCTGTGTCCACAAATGGCCCTCAAGTGCTCTTGCCTGTGGGGAAGGGGTACAGGAAGCAGGGAGAAACCCCAGAGTTCGGATGGTGGCCTCTACCTAAAGCTCAGCCAAGGGCCCAGAGAGCTGGCGATGATCTCGCTACCCTTCATTCTTTCTTGTCTTGGGACATTTCTCCTCGCTCAATTATTCTTCATGACACTATTCTGCAAATATGTGGAGTGGTCACTGGTGTGTGAAAAGAGAGGCAAGACTAGAGAGGAAAAAATGCAAGAAAACAGCAGCCTTCAGGCTAGTTGTAATAACATTCTCACTTGGAGATTACCTGGGCTCGCTGCCTGTCAACGCATGCCTATGCAAATTGCATCTAGATCCCAGGAAAATCGCATGCAAATGTGCTCTTGGTTGTCACAATCTGTTTACTACACCTGCTAGAGTCCACTGAACCAGAGAGGGCTGCCTCCTATGAATTTTTCATCAGTATTATTTATGCTCTTCTCTGGGGCTGTGAGGGTGGGGGAGGGCCTTGCTCTCCACCTCCCATATATGAACCTGGGCCTCTTCTGGAGTGGAAGGCCGAGGGTAGGGCCATGCCTCAATGGGCCCCATATTAATGCAGCTGGGGATCAACTAAAGGAAGGGTAAGTGTGGACCTCACAGTAAGTTTCCGGATATCTTTCTGTCCCCTTAGAGAATTCTAGCTTACAAGCAAAGTTTATATCTCCCAGCATAACTGGTTAGCCATGGCTGGGATTTTATCACTTCAAAAACATAATATTAAACAAAATACCTATTGTCAGGCTTTAGCAAAGCCCTGGTAAGACATGGATTTGATTTTCTCCTGACCTATATAATTTATTGTAGAGACAGAATAGCTACTATTTCTTTTACTGAAAGCTTTTTCTTTTTTCTTTCTTTCTTTTTTTTTTTGCTTGTTTTTTCAGAATAAGTTTTTTCTTTTGAAACTATTTATTGAGTAATTGGCACAAGTCAGGCACTGGGCTGGATATACATTCTCTCATTTAACCCTCAACTCAGCAGTGACATGGACATTTTCCTCAACTCACAAGGGAGGGCATCAAGAAACAAAAAGTTAAGTAAATTTGCCTGAGGCTACTCAGCTCATAAAGGAGAGATGGGGATTTGAACCCCTTGAGGACTCTTTTGCAAGCCCTCTTAAATTATGCTGTCAAGCTTTGTTCTTTCCTCCATGATGATTTCAGAAGAAAGATGTTCCTGTCTATAGGTCCAGGAATGTGCATACATCTAGTTCAGGAAGGAGGAAGCAGAAAGAGAACATAACAATAGTAATAGCCACAATGTGTTGACTTGCGTGTTTTAAAATAAATTTACTGAATTTTATGTTTTAGTCATACTAATTCATTCAGTCCCTACATCAGCCCTATCAAACAAATATTATTATTATTAGTAGTAGTAGTAGTAATGCTATGAGTATTAGTATTAGTATCATCACCATCCCCATTTTACAGATGAAAAAACACTTCAGGCAGGGAAAGAAACCTTCCCAAATCCCACAACTAAGAAGTATCTGAGCTGAGGATCAGGCCAGGCTGCAATTGTAAGCTGTTCTGATGAAGATGTGCCAGTTGGAGTTGGATTCTGGTGACATGTATACCACTTGGGAGGCTCCTACATATACACAATAGAATATTATGCAGCCATAAAGAAGGAAAAACATATGGACTTCGCAGCAACTTAGATGGATTTAGAGTTTATCATATTCAGTGGTCTATCACAAAAACAAAGAGCAGAGTACCATATGTTCTCACTCATAAGTGGACCTTAAACAAGTATCATAATACTGTAAGAAAGGGATTGGCAGTAGTGGGAAACTGCTGGGGAGGGGGGTGGGATTGGCAGTTGAGGAAAACTGCCAGGGGAGGTAGGGGCACACATTAACAAGGGTACCTGCATAATGAACATTTGTATACCTAACCCTGAATTGTACCCTACATCTTTAAAATAAAGAAAAAAAAGAAAGAAAAATGATGACTAGAAAAGAAATTATTTTAAAAAGCATGCAAGTGAGACTGTGAAATCCTCTGTAGGAGAGAGTACATTTACAGAAAGCATAGCAGGTCACCTGTCCATCATGACCCAAGAATATATCTGTGCAGGTAAAGAGAGGTCATGCAGAGAAACACAAGCAGTGAAGTAGGTAGTCCTGCAAAGGCCAGGAACAATCCAACTTACTTCTTGACTTTACTCTCCATGCTTCCCGCCATGTAGTATCCTGGCTTGCATTCGTATCTGCAGATGGTGCCCACGTCGTGGTTGCCATGGAGGCAGTGAGGCTGGAGCAGGTTGGCATTTGGAATAACAGGGGGAGCATCACACTCTAACTTGCAGTAGACTTCGGGGAGAGACCAGAGCCCATCTTCAAGACAGGTCAGCCATGGGCTCAGTCCTGACTCCAGGAAAAAGAAGCACAGGATGCTCAGAATAGAGTTCAGAAAAATAAGTCACAAATCAAAAACCTGTCAGCATATTGGTGTTCCTTGAAAGTCTCATTAGTCTTTCTTGAGCAACATCTCGAAAATTTCATGTCAGATTCCATCCTGCATCTTTTTACCTACAGAGCATCCAGTTTGGTCTCTTATACAAAAGGTGTCAGATAAATATTTTCTGACTTGGACGATAGAAGGAATACTGACCAAATCACTAGTTCCCTTCCTACCTACAAATAATGAAACTATAGCAGTGACCATATCATGGAGAGCACTAAAATAATAATAGACAACACTTTTATAGTGCCTATTATAGGCCAGTCACTTTTCTAAACATTTTACATATATTAACTTGTAGAAACTTCAAACTGCAAACAAGCCTAAGAAATAGATTCAACTAGTATCCCCTATTATTCAGATGAGGAAATTGGAGCTCTTGCCTGAGCTAGTAAGGGGCAGAGTCAGGACATGAACCAGGCATTTGAAGGCAGAGTCCTGTATTTAGCCACCACCCCATATGCCTCAGCATAACTCACTGTTTCTCCAAGTACAATTCATGGACTATTCACCATAGCATCACCAGCTCACCCAGACCCAAATGTCTAGAGCAAGGCTCAGGACTCTGCATGTATAGCAAACCTCCTGAGTATCTGATAGGCTCACTGAAGTCTGAGATGCCAAGTGAGGTAAAGAGCAGGTGTAGGGTCAGCTAGAGCAGTGTTCACCCCATCTTCATCTCTAGACAGCACTCAAGCCAGGGACAAGTTAGAGAACACTGTTCTAATCTACAAAATATAACTTAACACATGCAACTCATAGGACAGTTGTAAATACTAAATTTTAAAATATGCACGATAAAGTATATCTTGATTATCAAGACAACTATTCTAGCTGGCTTGATTTTGGGGTACACACAATCAAGTAAAGACAAAGAAAAGTCTAGGACTCTTTCAATGATGAGATCCTAAGTCAGTGCATCCTTACAGGTAGTTAGGGACAAAGACTGGAGTTGCCCTTTGGGGCTTCACTAGTGTCATTAGAAGAAAGTGACACAGTGGAGCAAATGGGAAGGGTGTTGGGGTGAAGACAAGAGTTTCAAAGTACCCCAGTGAGCAAGGGACTGAAGAGACCTTGCACACAGTTCCAGGCTGGCCAGACAATACCTTGCAGCTTGGCTGGTGGGACACACGAGATCGAGCAGCGTTTCAGAAAGCCGGTTCCCTCTGGGCAGGAGAAGTTGGCATAATTCACTAAAGACGGGTCAGGAATGCCACAGTCCAGGGGCATGCAGCTCACATCCCGGTCCCAGTGCCCAGAAAAACACATGAGCAGAATTTCCTTCTAGAAACAGAGAATTTGCCTCTGTCAAGGTCACACTGAAAAGGCTTATCAGAGCAGTTATCAGTTAAGGTTTATCTTTGGAAGATTCCCGGAAGATGTATCCAAACATTTAAAACAGGTATTTTGCCTTTCTCCCTCTTTAGGCCTCACTGTTTTAACAGCCTCACAATACTCAGGTAAGATGCTGATAGAAAGAGGCTGCTAGCGTAAGGGAATCACTGAATGGCAAGACTCCTCCAGGCCAATTCTGATGGCTGCTCATTGCGGGCTCCTTCAGATCCGTTCTCTACCCTCTCCATCCTGCTCTGTACCAAAGACACCAGTGCCTGTAGATTTCATGCATCTGACTTGTGCTCGCTTTCATCCCTGGGACAAAGGGGACACAGTGGCAGGGACTGGAGAGGGAGAGAGAAGAAAAAGGCTGTGGTATCGTTTGGCAGCCCTCTCTATACAGCTTCTGCTCCTTCTTCCTGTGGTTCTGTGGCTCCTGGTCAACCTTCCAGGCCTGGGGTTGGTGTCTGAGCCCATTCACTCTGAGTACTACAGCATCTCATTGTGATTTCCCTATATATTACCCACACTTTTATGAGCATTAAAGGTGCCTTCAGCAGTCATTTTACCTTTGCCTTGGGTGCCACTGCCCCTTCATTATATTCTCTCAAATTGCCCATTATTGAGCATATAATTTGTTTCCTGCTAGCATCCTAATTAATAAGCCAGCTGATAATCCTATTGAATGTTCATAGTCTCTAAAAACACCTGAGAGTTAATGCATAACAAGACACCTTCCCAACTTTGTGGCTAAATGTGAGAGATTCCAGCCATTTTCAATCCTGGACAACTCCCATTTCAGTAAGTTAGCCCTACAGCACACTGCTACTAACTCAGTGAAGAGATATCTATTGAGCACCGAGAAGGACCAGGTCCTGTATTAAACAAGATGCCCTAAAGAAGCTAAAACCCTACCAGGGGAGAATACCACATGTTGAAAACAGTGGCTCAGAAAACGTCTGAGAAAGGAAGAGTGGAAAGGAGAAAAGTAAGGAGGAAGATGAGAAAATGAAGAAGGAAAATGCTAGAGCTATATTTTCATTTGTTATGTTCTGTCCCCTTCTATAATGTTGGAGAGAATGCAATATAAAGAATGCAAATGACTGGGCTTGGAGGCTCAGCCTGTAATCCTAGTACTTTGGGAGGCCGACGCGAGTGGATTGCCTGAGCCTGCGGGTTAGAGACCAATCCGGGCAACTTGGCGAGACCTCGTCTCTGCAATAAATAAAAAATTAGCCGGGTGTGGTAGTGCATGCCTGTATTTCTGGTTACTTGAAAGGCTGAGGCAGAAGGATCACCGGAGTCCAGCAGGTTGATGTTGGAGTGGCTGTGAGAGTGCCACTACACTCCAGCCTGAGCAACACAGTGAGACTTCAACTTAAAAAAAAAAACAATAACATAAAAAAATAGAAAACTGGGATCAAGAAGAAAGAACATATAAATATGCAAAAATAAAGTCATATCGTATAATGCATGAGGTTGTTTGGTGGTGCAACAATATTATGGAACTGAAGGAAGGACTGCCTTCCTTGGGCTGGGAGGGAGAGTATTTAGGGAAATTGCACAGAGTAGGTAACACAAGAACTGACCTTGGAAAGATGATCAGGGGTTCCCAGCTGCACAAAAGGAGGTGGGAGAAGAGTTGATCAGGCTGGGGAGAATGGAATGGGCAGGAACCTGGAGACTTAGAAGCTCATGGCTTATTTGAGAAAAGTATAGTTATCATTCTAGCCACTGGGTTACCAAAGGTCAAAGACAGAGAGAGGAGTTTCTGTGGCTGAGCCAGTCAGTCATCCCTCCAGGAGACCACAGTGGCACCAAAGTGAAAGGTGAAATGACTGCAAAGGCACCTGATGCCCCTGACACCAACTTTAGGCTGACTGCCCCTCCCTGCTTCCCAGTGTTTCCCTGTTGCCTGCCAGAAGGAACCAATTCAAAGCCAGACACATTTTTCTGTTTAGTCTCAGTTCTTGTGTCAACAAAAAGCAAATATCCCCACTGTCTTGTGATCACGAGACAGGACTGTATCATTTCCTTCATGGAGCCCGCCTTCGGTGATAGGAGTGCTCAGTCAGCTGGAGAGTTCTGTAGCTGACTCCTCCATATGGTTGGCAGTGGGGAGCTTCACCTTTCTCCTCCCAGCCCATATGATGCCCCATAAACTCCTATCACAGCCTGCAAGTCTGGTTCCAACCATAACGAGTCACTGTCACATAAAGAAGGCCTCTCACACTCTGCATGCCCTACCTGGTGTTTCTGTTGTCTTTGTTACATATTGTCAGTTTTGTCTTCAATTTGCTCCTAATTCTGATGCATTGCAAAGGTTATCTTCCCTTCTTTCCCTGTCTCTGCCTGTCACATTAGTGTTTTCAGGTCTTGCATTGCTTTTGTCAATTCTTCCTATTGCTTTTATAGAGTGGACATACATTACCCGAGTTGAGCCGGGTGAAGGTCAGGTGAGAGGGGCTCTGCCTTCCTGATTAAAGCATCATAGATGAAGACGTTTTTGCCTCAAGATCTACTAAAACTCTTTCTCTCTAGGCAGGACCTAAACCATCTGAAACCAAAGGTCATGCCTTTAAATTCTGACTATCTCTAAGCAAGTGAAATTCTCCTATAGGTTCACAACCCATTAAGCAATCTATTGGCACAAAATGAAGACAAATGCAATCTTCTACACCATCGATATCTAATAGACGTGTGTTCACTCTTTCCTCATGAGATACCATATCTTTTTGGTTCTTTCATCAAGTACCATTATCTTTTGCCTAGTGCATCCTTTCTCTATCTCATAACATGGTTATGTTTTCTAATGGTTGAGTTAATGTTTATAATTCTTCTGTGGAGTATTGTAAACTCTGCTAAAAAGAAAGAAAATAAAATTCCTAGTTGAGAATACATCATCATGTTCACAATAATGGCTGCTTAACAGCTAGAGGGCTATGTGCATATCATTTTGCTAGAAGCATTTAAATTATTTCCAATCAGTCATCACAGTAACTCAGCGAGATAAGTACTCTGTTCTAATCATTTTACAAATGTGAAAACAGGCTTAGAGAGATTCGTTTTTTTTTAACCTGAAGTTACATGCCTGGTACCTAGTGGAGCTAACATTTCATTCAGCTCTGTGTTCCTACCTCCAAACTTCCTTGAAATTCTGAAGATGGTGCTGTAGAAGTTTGGACTAGAGTTTGCAGAAATTTGGAAAATTCGCCCAAAGCTAAAATCATGATAGAATCTCTGCCTCAGCAACAAATGTAATGTTTTTGGGGAGAAAATCGGGTTCTACTCCAAGCTTTTCTTAGGAGGGCTGAGGAGAGTGGTGGACGAGGAACCACCAACACGCTGATTGCAACCTATCTCATCTGTAACTTATAGACAAGTCTAAACTGTGGCATTCTTGTCTTAAAGGCAAAAGTAGGAACATAATTTCTGACAGGAAGACAAAGCCAAGGGAGAAGAACAGAATAAGCATTCCCATTTGCCACCCACCTAAAGAGAAATGTACACACAATTTGATCAGGATTGCACATGTTTTTATACACCTTGTGTGTCTATTAATTGTACTCTCTCTGCTTGTTAGAAGCCTCATGCTTTTCTTTCAAATGATTTAAAAATGCCTTCCATTCTCCTACCAGGCCAGAGAGGAGCACCAGTAACTTCCTTCCCTAGAACTCGGGGCTGCAGACCCTATGTTTTCAACTCACCTGCAAGGGTCTGAGGTATTTCCCGCTGCTCGCCTGAAGTGCAAATCCCCTTTGACAGGCGATAGCACACTTCATGTGACCTGGGCCACCAGAAGTACAGTTCACCACATCAGCGTGATCAAGCAGCAGTGGTGCACAGCTGGCCTGCTCTCCACAGGGCCGATGGACACAGCTGGGACAACAGAAACAGAAGCAGCTTAGGACTGGCTGGGAATCAGTAGGCAGAAGTGACGACTTCACAGCTCTCTCTGAGAAGTGCCCCTACACCAGAGAGAACAATTTTTCTCCAGATCCTGCTTTAAATGCCTCATCTTTATTTTTGCATATTACCCTGAACCATGCAGCATCACAAACATAAACAATAACAGCTAATAAGTAACAACATGATTCTTTCTATGATTCTTTCTTCAAGGAGGGTGAAAGGGTGATGAACAAGGTGGAAAGTGGATCCCAAGAGTTCTGGATGAACTCAGAAGTAAATCAGGGGATCATACTCAAAATATTTAACAGCCAGTACTGCTGGGTCCCAAGCAGTCAGAACGAAGCTCAGGGGTGACCCCTGGAGGCCCCTGGTTGTGTCAGCCTTTCAAATGTTTGATCACAGGGAGGTCCCGGGGGTCATGTCTGAAGGGCCTGAGTATCTGAGATGCCAGAAAAGAAAACACCAATTTACTGATTGGTATGGAAATGTTTTGACAGTTAGTATATCATACACTACCAAATATCAGTACAAGCTGATCAGAAATAGAGCTCATTACAGGAAGAGGAAAAACTCACGCATTTTAACTCCTGTCACATGCCTGCCATTGTGCTAGGTGCTTCCAGAGACATCCTCTCAGCAGAGAACTGCTACCTGGATTGCAAGGGCCAATTGGTCAGGAACAGGAGAGATGTATTAACTCCTCAGGGTCCAGGGAGACTCAGCCTGGACCATGGCAGCAGCAAGGAAGGACACAATGGAGCAAAAAAGTGTTACCCTCTTGCCATGACAGAACCATAGAGGTTAAAAATTAGGACATGGCTGGGCTCAGTGGCTCAGCCTGTAATCCCAGTACTTTGGAAGGTTGAGGTGAGTGGATTGTCTGGGCAACTTGCCTGGAAACCAGCCTGGGCAACTTGGTGAGGCTCTGCAATAAATAAATAAAAAATTAGCCAGGTGTGGTAGCGCGTGCCTGTAGTTCTGGCTACTTGGAAGGCTGAGGCAGAAGGATCACCTGAACCCAGCAGGTCAATGCTAGGGTGTTCGTGAGTGCGCCATGGCACTCCAGCCTGGGTGATAGAATGAAATTCCAACTAAAAAAAAAAATAAGGGCACTGGTCCCAGGCTGTCTGGATTTGAATCCTGGCTCCTTCATTTACTACCTATGCGATCTGAAGTGAGTGATTCACTTCTCAGTGCTTCAACTCCTTCCCTATAAGATGGAGATAATCATGGTACATCTTTCATGAGGTTGTCACTGTTCCCGGGTCAGTTCCCCCTCCTGCATCACTGCAAATGGCCAGGCACTACCCTCAGTGGTTTGTTTACTGCTAGCCACCCTCCCTTTAGTTCACCCCCTCCTGTATCCTTGCTCAATTCATGGAGATGTCTTATTTATTTATTTATGAGTGGAGTCTCACTCTGTCACCCAGGCTAGAGTGCAGTGGTACACTCATGGCCACTCCAGCGTCGGCCTGCCAGGCTCCAGCGATCCTTCCACCTCAGTCTCCAAGTAGCCAGAACTACAGGCATGTGCTACCACACCCGGCTAATTTTTGATTTATTGTAGAGACAAAGTCTCACCAAATTGCCCAGACTGGTCTTGAACCCACAAACTCAGGCAATCTACTCACCTTGGCTTCCCAAAGTGTGGGGATTACAGACTGAGCCACTCTTGGCCCATGGAGATGTCTACAAGACCTTCTGCTATGGTTTGGATATGGTTTGTTCCCACCAAAATTTATGCTGAAATTGACTCCCAATGTGATGGTTCTGGGGGATGAGGCCTATTGCGAGGTACTTGGGTCATGGGACCAGATCTCTCACGAAGTCTTGTGCTGCTCTTTTTTTTTTTGAGTTGGAATCTCACTCTGTTGCCCAGACTGGAGTGCAGTGGCCGCTCCCGGTCACCACAGCCTTGACCTGCTGGGCTCCGGCAATCCTTCCGCCTCAGACTTCCGAGTAGCCGGAATTACAGGCATGCGCTACCATGCTCGGCTGATTTTTTGATTTATTGTGGAGATGAGGTCTTGTTGTGCTGCTCTTATGGTAGTGAGTGGCTGAATTAGTTCTTCACTAAAATGGGTTTGTTTCCATATGTGTGAGTAGTTATGAAGTGAGGATGTCCCTTGTGCTTTGCGCCTTTGCACGTGTCTGTTTCCCCTTTGACCTTCTGCCATGGTATGACACAGCAGGGAAACCCTCGACAGAAGCTAAGCAGATGCCAGAACCAGCCTGCAGAACAGTGAGCTAAATAAAACTCTTCTTTTTATAAATAACCCAGTCTCAGGTATTCTATTATAGCAGCACAAAATGAACTATGACATTTTCCTCTCTGAGAAGCCCCATTCAGATATCGTCCTCCTTCAAAACCTCCAGCGAAATTTTTTAAAAAGCCACTCTAGTATTTCTTTGACTCTATCTTGTATTATAGTCATGTAAGCATTTTCTTATTCTTTAATTAGTTAATTAACTTATTAATTCTTTCATCTAAAGATAATTAATATCTGAATATCTCCTAATGCTGAATGTCCCAACTAGATTATGCACTTCTTGATGATAAATACATACCAACAGTATATTTATCACAACCCTGCTGTGGTAGACACAATAAAAGTTTGTTGAATGAAGTTTGTTCATGTTATAAACAGCAAAGTAAGCCCATGGCTAGCAGAATGGGAAATCTGTTAAGTCTTACAGTGATAGATCAAGATCCAAAATACAAAAATATCGTTATCAAACAATGATTCAACCATCTTGCTCCACTCATTCACTAATAAACATTTACTGAGCACTTACTGTTTGCAAGGCATTGGTCTGAGTACTGGTGGTATTAATAAGAACCGCATCCTTATGAACTCATTCCAGTGAAGGAGACCAACAAGATGTTTTCTTTTCCTTGATGCTGTTGTCAGTGGTGCTAATTATAAGCCAAAATGACCACTGCAAATCTTGTTATCAATAATGCGCTCTTTGTTCCTGAATTGTATTAGTGGTCAATGGCTGTCAAGGAGCCAGACAACAGTATAAGGAAGAGGAAAATAAAATGTCATTAAATATGTGCATACTGCCTTGAAATAATCGAGAGTTCATTTTAAAAGTACTAGCCACAAAAGGGTGGATTTGAACAATATACTAAACATAAAATATACTAAAGAAACTGCTGCTGACCTTATAACCATGGGATTTAAATCATATTCCAGTCACACTCTTATTTATCATCTTATCTATGCTTGTTAGGTATGAGATAAAAGGATTGAAGGTGAGCAGTGAGAGGAAAACCTTTTCATGCAGTATCCATCATGGATACTGGATTTCTGATGAAGGAAGAAATACGTAAATTGGGAGTTGTTAACAAGTCAGTGTGAAGTCTCCATATCCAATGCTGATAATTGGTTATGCAACACAGAAAATAAATCTTTGTCTCTCAGTATTTAGTCAACATATCTGGACAACGGAGCTAAAATCTGACCATTTTGATGAGATCAAAATGGTGCATTTTAGTGATGCTGCATAACTCCAAACTCCATAGATGCTATATGCCATGGATGTCCAAAACATTGTGTCTTCTTCAGCATGTTGAGCTGAAAGTACTAGAAAACAGAGAGTAATTAACACTCTGGTTCATGTCAGTTTATTGCAAAGAAATTGATGTGAAAGAGCATGTGCTGTTTTTTGGTGACTCCATCCAATTAATCCACATCAGCATTGAGGACAAGTACGTGCTGAAACAAGATGCAAAACAAATACTCTTAATGAGCCTCCCTCCATCAAGAGGGAGCTGTGAGCTGCTGTTGCTATGACTACCAGTGGGAGAATTCTGCCCCACATCAGCAGCGAGGAAGGAAGAATGAGTCAGGGGAGCATGAGAGGGAAAAGTGGCATGAAATAAGACCAAGACCAAGAAAAAAAAAAAAAAGGGACCAAACCCAGACCTGTTTATGAAGTGAGAAATGGTTTTGGGGCAGCTGCTGCAAATTCTTTCACTAGCTTATATTTCCATTTGCTTCCTTTTTAAGGAATTTGTTTTATGAGAACGGAGTTTGTCAGGTCGTTAGCTTCTGATGGCATCTGGTACCAATTGTAGACTTCTCTCTCTTGCACCCCTGCCCCAAATCCCCTCTTGTGTTTCTCTTCCACTACAAACACTGCTTCTCTGAGTAAGGTTGTTGTGTTCTCCATCATTCCCCCAGCCCAAATACACTCTCCTTTCTACCCAATGCCCATAGGTTCTCATATCATGCTAAAAGCTAATAGTAAAAATAATCCATCTTAAAACTTCTCAATTTCTTCTCATGGCCTTTGGACAAATGTTACTTAAAGTGGCAGAAGTGAAGTTTTACAATGCCCCAGAGGGGTGGGAAGTTGGGTATTTGTCTTGGTTTGACATACAAGGAAACTAAAGCTGTTTGGAGACTGGCTGGAGGCCACACAGCGAGTCAGAGGAAAAGTCTCAGGCTGGATCGCCGAGCCTTCAATCTCAGGGCCAGTCTAGACCACCGGGCATCTCCCTTGGGATGGGGTTGCTTTCCTGTTGCTTTCTTCCCAATTCAGGAGCTTGCAGCAGAGGCCAGGGTGAGCCAAGGAGCTCTTCAGCAGGGTAAGCAGGGGAAAAACATCATTCTGCAAGGCTTTACAGACAGAACATAGGGAAAGGCAGCCATCTCAAAAACATGGACTAAAAACACCATTACCCCTGCTACTGTGAACTGAATAAGATTCACCATGTGTGGATCTCTTAAATTCTGACTAACACATTTAGATAACTCTACACTAAAAGGAGTCAACTTCTAAATCTGAGGGTAGACCTATGGCAGGTTTTCAAAGTCTTCCTACATCTTGCAGTGGTTAATGAGGAACAGGATTAGGCTGACACTAGAAAATAGACATCGCTCACTCCAGATGGAGTGTATAGACTCACTAACAAGCTTGTCATGAGCTATTCGGGGATGCCAAACCAGGCACCTTTTTCA